GGCCGAGCAGCGCCCGCCCCGCGGACGCGGAATCGACGCTGTCTCTGTGTCGTGGATTTAGCGTCGTCTCAGCGAGGGCTTTACGCGTCGTCAGCGAATTTCTCAGCGAATCCGTTTCTCCCGGGTATTTGCAACACACGAGTCACTGAAGTATATTTAATTGAATGTTCTAGAATGTATCGTATCATAGAGTTTAATATCAATGCTCCCACAATTGGTAGTTCGGCGCGTGCTGCACTAGAGGGCCAGCACGCGGCCCGGTGTTGCGTAGTCACTTTGGCCGAGTGGCTACAGCGCTCGACAGTGAACCGACGGGGCAGTGGTTCGATCCCTGCTTGCCTCCGAGGCTGGCTTGCGCATTTTATGTCGAGCCACACACTAGCTTGAAATAAATTTGTCGTATATTCAATGTGAAAGTGGTCCGTTTAACAACAGGAAAACGACAACATTACTCGTCACTTTATGAAAAGCGCGTTTGTTGTATACACTGGTTGTATGTTTGTCGTTCATTGTAGATTTGTTAGTATTTAAGTGTTAATTTGTCGTGCGATTAACAGCAAAATAACCGTCATTTACTCGCTTTTGTTCCACACGGCAAGGGATGTTGCAGACCTGCCCGTGTGAAAAGCAAGTCTGTAAATATGACGTGTTTTTGCCGTTTTCCAACAGCAAATTAACAGTGAACGTAGACCAAAAAAACGTCCAAATACGTCAAAATAACGACAGAGATACGGTAAACCTATTTGGCGGTGAACTGCTGTAGTTTTTAAGTTTTTAAGGTAGTGGAGGTGTGCAGATTTACACTAAGAATACGTCAAATTTATGTTCACCGAAAGAGAGGGCTAGAGAAAAACTGTGCGGTCCAGACGCTGCGGTACGGAGTCGAACTCACGAACCTCAGCGTCTCGGTCTGATGCGGTATCTACCAGGCCACAGCGATCCCACACTGAAGGAGCCGTCCCCTTCCAGTCAGGCGGCAGCAGTGGAGGCTCCAAGAGACAGTAGCTGTCATCTCGTGATATTTTTGGTCTAAGTTGACTGTTAACTTGCTGTTGGAAAACGGCAAAAAATACGTAATATTTACAGACTTGCTTTCCACACGGGTGCTGGCGAGTCCACAAAATTCTCACCTATAAAACCTGATGCTGCTAATTTTGCTAATTTTGGCGATGCTAGATTGTTGCCACACATCTAGCTAGACCTTACGCGCGCACCCTTCTGAAAATAAATGTTCCCTCGAAGCAGTAATGCAAATCACCGGAGGGTTCCAAGAAGAACGCCTTTGTCTGCCATACAGCACCTTCTAGCGGAAGGTTCAGGGCCTGTAAACTTTTCATGTCAAGTACAGCATTCCTTATGTGATATGTACCCTGAAAAACAAACAAACACACATGGCTCCATTACTGCATGAACAACAACCAGCTACTTGTTAGTAACAGTGGAGTCTTGGGAAGTTTAAAATGGATTGCAGCGAGCTGAACGAGCAACTAATCCCTACCGGGGCTTCTATGCCTCTGACAAGGGAACCTTTTCAGGTGTAAATCTCCGATTTTGTTGAAAGCTGGAAAATTTGAAGGTTATTTATGTACAAATCGGACGGCTCTTGAAATTTTTCCTAAACCTGACATTTAGTTTTCCCCTAGGGTAAGATGCCCTATGATGGCCACCTTAAGAATGGGCCTGCCCAATGATGGCCACCCCTTTTTCTTGTAATGTAGACAACGATGTGAAGTAGTTTGGTTTATCATGCCCAAGTAGGGACCTTACTAGAACACAACTTCAAGGCCAAGATTGTAAAGTGACCAGATTGGCTGGAAATCGAGAAAAGTGGCCATCAATGGACAGTGGCCACATTAGGGCACCTTACCCTATATAAGGTAGGAGTTAGGTGTTAGAAAAAGATAGTTTTTGAAAAATGTAAAGCAGTGTTCTGAGGGGTAACTCGTCAAAGTAGTGCCCTTTGGGCCAAAATTTTGTCCGTTTTGCTCTATTTTGAACCGTTAAAGCGGTAGAGGGATATTTGGAGCAAAAGACAGTGTCAGGCTTAAGTAAACCCCCTAGTAAATGTTAAGTTTAGGAAAAATTTCAAGTGCTATCCGACTTCTATTATAATAACCTTTAAATTTTCCGAGTACCAACGAAATCGGAGATTTACACCTGAAAAGGTTCCCTTGTGAGCGGCGTAGTGCCCCTCTCTCAGAGCCCCCTCCACCCGCCTCCTTATGGTTGAGAACTTTACACCCAGAAAAAAGATTTCTTAGATCAAGCCAAATTGGCTTGAAATAAGAAAATTTCCACCTCGGCTGAACCAAACCCAAAAAAGCGTCCGATCAAGAAAAACCTAGGCTTCATTTACTTAGATTGGATCAAAACGAACACTGCTTGGTTCAAGGCAAATTTATATTGCAAGCCAAGAATAAAAATTCTCACTTCAAGAAATTCGGCTTGATTCTTGCATATATTATTTCTAACCAAATATTTACGCTGTTCGTTTGGGAGACAGAGTTGCGCTTGGTTATCCCCAGATTTTTTCCTAGAATACTTAGGCATTGGCAAGGCATTCTTAATCCAAGAATATTTTCTTGGTTTACGCAAGAATGCTATCGGCTTGTTTTCATACGGTGCGCAGAGCAACACGAGAGTCAAAAAGTCAGTAGGGGGCCGACCGGACTCGAACCCACGCCCCGTCGGTCTGAGCCAGTGCCTCAGCCCACTGAGCTATCGCTTCGACAACGGAGCGCGCCAGTCCAGCGCACTGTTGGTAGTAGCAGCTGGACTGTATCCGAATCATCCGAATCAGGTTGGCAGAGAGCTGCGGTCCCGTCACCTGTCGTGGTAGCTCAGTGATCTCTGTGCCTGGCGGCTGGATAGTGAGCCGGGTCCGGCAGGGGTTCGATCCCAGGCCGGAGCGCAACCAGTTTCTCCAAATCAGTGCCTCTGTAGTTGTGAACGGCCTAAAAGGGGATGGACTAAGTTTCTGGAAACTTGGGAAAGGGAGACAACTGAGTCACCGTTTTGTCAGAAAATATAATTCCCGATAATTCCACAACGCCTAGGCAAGTAATCGAGAGAGAGGGAGCGGAGGAGTCCGATTCGGGTCGGATCGCAGCCGAAGCAGCCGAAGCGATCCTGAGAACGTGCACCACGTACACGAACACGGCGGGCGGGAAAACGTGGGTTTGGCTTCAACCAAGACTAGCCGATGCTTGCGCTACGCCTAGCTTGAATCTAGACAGAGATTCTTGTTGTGAGCTAAAAACGTCTTGATTGAAACTGTACACAATTCAAGCACTCGGCTAGGCTTAATTCAAGAATTCATTTTTCTGGGTGTAGCGTAAACAAGCTTGGTCGCTCACGCTCAAGCCGTGAGGGTAGAATGCCCGATTATTACAATCGCAAACATGCAGACTTGCTTACTGCGAGTGTAACTAAGTTTCCCACAACCTCGGCAATTTAAAACTGCAAGCGATTTACTTTCCGTGCATATATTCGCAGTTTCGCACATCTCCTTACCGATTTTGTTGGGCATCTATAATCTTCTTCTATTCCCTTGATGAGTCCACCCCACGGTGCCACGGGGTCCATCCAAACCTTGCAAGGTTCAGTCTGAAGACGCCAGTTCCCGTATTTCTCACAAGTATTGCTGGAAACGACGTCCCGGCAGCGGGTCATCTCTACCCTAATCTGTACGATTAACAGATTTGTTACTGTATGTGCGGGTGTGTCGCCTCTTATTCTTTAGGCACGATACCTCAAGACCAGATAGAGCTAAGAGCTAATGACTATCCTAGGGGCAGAAAACTGCCCATAAACTGCGCATACCGGGTGTAAAGGCCAATACTCCCCAGTGTTGCGGGTTTGCATACCCAAGGGGTCATGGCGCCTTACGGGCAGACCAGGTAGGCATACCCGCAACACTGTGGTGTACTGCCTTGACAGACGGTATACTACAGTTTGCCTTCAATTACGAAATAACTCCAGTTCCGACTACAGATCCTCAGATCCTTTCACCCGGATGCTCACCAGACGAGTATATGGAGCTGAACATTAAGTTCAAGAAACGGCCGACTCATTTTTAATTTACCTCAGAGATCCGCTTTGCGGGACGGCTAACGTTGAAGGTAGCACTGAAGGTGTAGTTTCCTCGGCCGCGTAAGGAACTCGATGCAGGTCCAAAAAACGTTACCGCGTTGTTTAGGACTCCGGGACAGCCACGCATGTTCGGAATTTCCGCCACAAGGCGCGAAGGGGCCTGTGAGAATAATTAGGTAAGCTATTGGGCCCGGGTACCCCAGGTACCCAACCCACTCGCTCGGGTAGGAACAGGTGTAGCGGCTGATTTTTGCCCGTCTACCCCCGGGTACTAATCTCCACAGACACCTGTACCCCTTTGCTCCTTGCCAAAGAGGGTTACAAATCGCCTGGGGAATTCGTTGCCCCCTGCTGCCTGGGTGATTTATTCTTACAGGTACAGGAAGTCTAGGCGAAGTGTACCCACTGTTGTTTTCGCATCTTTAAAGTAGTAACACGCAAACAAACCCTACACGGAGAAAAATATTTAGTTGGGACAACGAACAGTTTAGTTGATTTTCGGATAACTAAATAATTTTCGTTGTGACAACGAACAAGCTGTCGTTGAGAAAACTACCTCTCTACTAGTTTAGTCAACTGATACGAACCAGTTTCCACAACGAAAAGTTTTTGGTGTCTGCACAAATGCGCCTTTTGTCCACTTTTCTAGTGATCTGTATGTACACGGGACTCAACAGTTTCGTTTGGATAACAAACACCACGGTGTTTCGAAGGGAGAATCTTCATTGATTTCTGATCAGGTAATAGCGGAATTTACAAGGCGGGGTGTCTTCCTTGCGAACATGATGTACAGTTAAAGGCGTTAACCGCATCAGCTGATATAAAAATAATCTCCATCAGGTTCGGAATGACTCCTATACCCATATTCTGATTGAGGAAGGTCAGGGTGCCATAGAAATGCTGCTGGCTGCACCTATCGCGCAACATTTCGTCGTCAGTTATGCTAAAGCGCCCTCTATCGGCTCGGCAGTGCATCTTTGGTAGCAGACGGTAGAGGGCGCTTTAGCATAACTGACGACGAAATGTTGCGCGGGAGGTGCAGCCAGCTGCAGCACAACACTGGGTACGCTCCGCCCTTCCCCAATCTTCCACCGTGTGGAGGGGATGGCGAAGTTGATGACATCGTCACGTCATCGTCACGTCATCGTCTTTGACGAAATATAACCAGTCGATCCTAATTTTCTTAAGTGAAGTGGAACTGTTTCCAGTAATGGTGTTCCAGTCGAACTCCATGCTCGAATCGTCTGATTGCACGGTTGCGATCGAACTGATTCTTTACGTTGGTAGAGTCATTAAGTGTTGTAAACTGAGCAGCAGGTCGCAACGTCCCCCCAACAAGTTTTGGAAGTGAGCGAGCGAAAAAGTTAGTTGAGGGAACGAACGCCTTTCTTCGTCTGCTTGTTAGTTGGCAAAACTAGTACACGTAGTTAACTTAACCAGTTTGTTTAATGCTCCTCCCAACGCACATAGTGTGCTGCTTCAGCAAGGTGACATTGCCTATGCAACCAAATATTATGCTCACTAGACAAAAATCATTTCGCCGGGGCCACTGAACATAATTCGCCCGACAAGCGAAACTTATATGCAGATACAGCAAACGTGCCCACTACGATAACAGAAAGTTTGTATCCTCAACGTACACTTTTAGTTATCCGAAAATCAACTAAACTGTTGGTTGTCCCAACTAACAATTTGTTGTCTCAGCGAATCATTTTTTTCCGTGTAAGAAAATTGAAGAGATTTCAATGCGGTGATCTAAATTTGTTCACCCAGTACGAAAAGAATGGGGTACTGTTGTATGCAGGGTTCCGAAAGTTACTTGAAAAAAAGGGAGGGGGTATTCACTTCGGGTTTTCGTGTACAGACTATACTCCGTATTACCGTCAAAGTGTCTAATTCCGGACCAGCAGGGTAAATCCGAACACTACTTTTTTGCATTTTTACAGCAAATTACACAATGTAGGTTCATAATTTAGATAGATACTTTTCCGCGAGGCTCTGGAGATTTAAATAATTAGTAGTTTCATATTTAGAGCCGCCCAGAGCAGTGCAATTTTAATAATAGGACCCGACCAGTACACAAACTGTGAAGCGGTACTTCAATGCGTGTGCCGCATAGCACCAATGCTGGCCACGGTCACTAGATACAGCTTTAACGTCACTACGCTGGAGTCGAAAATTTTTAATATCCTGCGGACCTTTGCGGGTAGTATTGATTGTACGGTATTTCACTCGATCTCTCTCTCACAAATCTTAGGTAAAAATGCACTAAATTTTCAAATTTGACAAAGTCCTGTGTGGTAAAGATTGTTGTACACATTCTTATGGCGTATTTTGCGAAACCAATGCCCTTCTACTAAAATAGCACTGACTTTTGCAGAAGTTGCTTAACTTCTGAAATGGACCAATTTTGCCTCGAAAATTTCAATATCACTCTGGTTCCGCAGTTACGGGTTAAGTTGGTGTGTACTGGCACGTAGCTGCAGTGCAGTATTGGCATATCGACCAGTTCTAGTGCCATTTAATAGCAAAAATAGGGACTGTCCGGATTTGCCCCGGCTTCGGGTTTAAATCCGGACGGGGTTTCAGAGGCTTGTGCAGGTGAACTGGCGCAAAGAAAATTTCCTCTCCAGATGGAAAATATGTATCTTGGCGCCTAGTTTCTAGAATCCGGTGGAATTTTTCATACCCCTACCGGTTTTAGAAATATTGATGAAAAACGGTCAAATTTGTCCGGAATATGACACTTTGACGGTACGGGTATTAGGCGTATTACTAAGTAGTACTAGGTTTTATTAGGGTATTACAGCGTATTACCAGGTATTACAGCGTATTACTGATCACCTGAAAAAGATTTTATCGAGTGCGTACATACATATTGAAGGGGTCCTGGCCTGGGTCTGACAGACTGCAAACGGAGACTCGTAATGAGCAAGAAACAATGGAAAAAAACGCCAAATATCGCCAAATCAAGATATGCCTGGAGCTTTATTGGCTGAGCGAAAGCGAAGCCTATTACTCCAGTGATGATCAAAAAGTTTCGCGTCTGTCTGTCTGTGTGTGTGTCTGTGTGTCTGTGTGTCTGTCTGTCATCACGGTAACTGGAGAACGAATTGAGCCAGCGACCTGGGATTTATAGGGTCGTTTTGTGTCATAAAAAGACAGATCAAGTTCGAAGAAGAGCATTCTAGCTCAAAAATTGGATTTTAAAAAAATCAAAAACCACAGGTCCCCAAAATGACGATTTTTAAAAATATTTTTTCAACTTGTCCTAAAAGGTAACTCATCAAAGTAGAGCCCTTTGGGCGAAAATTTCGTCCGTTTGGCTCTATCTTTAACCGTTGAGGCGCCACAGGGAGTTTTTGCAATGTACAACCCTGCATGCTCAGTCGCAGTGACGGGTAGTTGACGGGCCGGAGGCCCGTATCTTTGTGTAGTACATTTTCCCACTACCCGACTCGGGTGTCAGCGCCGCAGGCCTAGGTAGATGTATGCCAGGCGCGACGCAGCGCAACAGTGTTTCGTGAGACATCGCGAAGCCTGTTACGCGAGACGTGGTCTGGCGTACATCTACCTAGTATCCCTTACTGTACCTCATCGGCTCATAAGAGTTTAGCCGGTGTATTTCGCCTGTGCTGCGCTGAGCATTAGCGTATTAACGCGCTGAGTAATACTTGCTGTCTCAGCGAAATCGTTGCTGAAAGATTAGCAATTTACCTTTTTGTTACCGTCTGAGAGAAACGTGGGCCAGTACAGACAGACCGACAGACAGACACACGACCAAAGAGTTCTCTGCACCCCACATCACAGCAAAGGCGTCGCAAGCTCAGCTAATAGGGTGTTCCAGGCTATCTCAAACGGAAGTGAAAAAGAACAAACTCACTGATTTATCTGTTTCCGTCCGCCCAGTATGAGAAGCTACCATGGTAGTTTGGCCCGATCCTAACCTCTCAAATATGGAGGGGAGCTCGAAACTGATCTGACAGTTTCTCATACCTGTAAGGCCGCGGGGGCACGTGATTAGTTCGACCAATCAGAGCCATTACGGAAACAGCAACGTCAGTGAGTTTGTTCTTTTCCTACTTCCGTTTCAGATTGCCTGGAACACCCTATTGCTGCCGCTGCCGGCCTGTCCACGCCTTTTGTTCCTAGCATGGCCGGTCTCGACCCGTCTCCCACCCCGCCCCGGCCGACAGTCCGCATCCGAGTGTTGCACCCGGACTACATGCCTCCGTCTGCCACCGTCTGTAGCGTGTGCATAAGAAACACAAGGACATCGATGCTCCCGACCTCAAGCTCATCTGGTATAGTCCTTTCCGGTACAGTCGAAATGCAGAAGAATGCAGGGAACAAGAAAACGGAAGTCCCATGTAAGAGCATAGTGATCTCCGTGTTCTTCTTCCTCCCATTCTTCTGCATTTTAGCTTTACCGGAATGCTTTATTGTGACTTGGCTGTTTGCGCAGCGCACTGAAAGCAGCAGGAACAAGGTCAGGTCGTATTACGCGGGTGCCTGACAAGCCACTTTTGCTTGTATGTCCGTAATTTTTTCTGCCCCCCCCCCTCCTTCTCTCCTCCCAATTTTCCTCCCGCCCGCGACACATGGAAGGGTAACCAATAGGGTGTTCCAGGCAATCTAAAACGGAAGTAGGAAAAGAACA